TCTTCGTATCAATTTTGCCATTTCTATCCAATTTTTTTGTCCTTCTTTTTAACCCATGTAAGGAGTTTTTTTAACGGTTTTTAGGCAACATAGATTCACTTCCACCAATGGACATAAAAATGCACTGTATTGTGATTATTGTTCGTGACAAAATTTTCAGATGTTGCGGAAGGTCAATGCTTCACAAGAGATCCAAAGTGGAATTCCATCCCCTTGGAGTCGTTGGTGCTATTGTGTCATGGAATTATCCTTTTCATAATATTTTTAATCCAATGTTGGCGGCGGTGTTTTCTGGAAACAGCATTGTGATTAAGGTAGTTATTGCTAGAATGTCCACTGTTATTTTAATTAATCACTATCTGCACTTGTCTCTATATCCGTAATACCTTATTCCATTTGACTTGGTGGCTGTCTAAACATCGCATATCTGTGTTAGCTATTATTAGTTGCTGGGGATTTAGGCTATATATCCTTAGAAAGTGGCTCGCGAGAAAAGTAGATAGACATAATTTATCTTCTAATGATTTGCACTGAAGATTATTTGTTAATTTGACAGAGAACCATATGCTTGTAATTGCAGGTTTCAGAACATGCAAGCTGGTCTGGTTGTTTCTACCTCCGAATAATCCAGTCGGCCCTTGCTGCTGTAGGAGCACCTGAAAATTTAGTTGACGTTGTAACAGGGTATTGATTTTCCATTTTTGGTTGGGCAGCGGTTGTTTCTTTCTCTCGTCTTGTTTAACTGTCTCCTTATGATCTAACCTTTTCTTCCTCACTAGGTTTGCTGAAACTGGAGAAGCACTGGTGTCTTCTGTTGACAAGATAATATTTGTTGGATCGCCTGGTGTGGGTAAGATGGTATGATCTTCTTTTGCCTGATTGGATGGATTTCTTGTTCTTGTTTAATTCCTCGAGTGGGCTTCTCACTTCCAACTTTCACTTCTGCTATTTCTGCAGATAATGAAAAGTGCTGCTGAGAATCTTACACCAGTTACACTTGAACTTGGTGGGAAAGATGCATTCATTGTTTGTGAAGATGTAGATGTGGAACATGTATGATTTTTTTCCTACCTTCATGATGTTTATCAGACATGGAAATTTAATATGAAGGATATTTTGGATTATAATTTTTTATATTCCAGAACATCATATTAACCTAACTACTCAATTTAGGTTTCCCAAATTGCCGTGAGAGCTGTTCTTCAGTCAAGTGGACAGAACTGTGCTGGGGCAGAGAGATTTTATGTTCATGAGAAGATTTATTCTTCATTTGTCAGTCAAGTTTCCAAGATTGTAAAATCTGTTTCTGCTGTAAGTATGTCCCTATCAACATGTTTTGTCCCGAAGCTGAATCTTTAGGTTGTCTTACAACTTTTTTTCTTTGTTGTGATTTCAGTGAAGTTTGATTTTACAGTTAGCATTTATATGTACTACATATTCTTTTAGTTACAATGTCAGCCATATGCAGACTTGCCTTCCCAGGTTCATAATCACATAGGCTGGAATGGTCGGGAAAAATTAATGAAAAATTATCCAGCTAGTTCTGTGGAGATAGTTATACAACGTATACTTAAACATGGGTTCAATAAGAGTTGTGCATTTATAAGAACTTAATATTCAAACTCCTCATTCTGTCAGTTTATCTTCTTTTGTAGGGACCACCACTTACTGGAAGATATGATATGGGAGCTATATGTTTGCAAGAGCACTCTGAAAGGCTTCAATACCTTGTAAATGATGCCTTAGACAAAGGAGCAAAGTTTGTTGTTCGGGGAAGTGTTGGCCATATAGGTGAAGGCGCAGTTGATCAGTTTTTCCCACCTACTGTGATTGAAAATGTAAATCACACGATGAAGCTGATGCAAGAGGAGGTATCCAAATTCACGTGTTTTCTAGCATTTTCATATACACCTTTAATATCCAATTAGTTACATGGAGAAATGTTTTCTACAATTTTGCAGGCATTTGGACCAATCATGCCAATAATGAAATTTAGCACTGATGAAGAGGCTGTCAAGCTTGCTAATGATTCAAAATATGGTCTTGGCTGTGCTGTTTTTTCTGGCAGCCAGCGTCGTGCAAAAGAGATAGCTTCCCAAATACACTGTGGAGTTGCTGCAATCAATGATTTTGCATCAACGTACATGTGTCAGGTAAATATTTTATCAGCTGGTAGTTGATATTGTGTCAGTTTTCTTCCTTATTCTTTCGTTTTTGACTGAAGATGGATTTTTTTGTTGTCATTTATCAGAGATCCCCTTAGTTGAAGCATAACAAGTATCCTTGTTGCAGCACAACTCGTTATTATTTTGTTCAACATGATGACATTGTTAATCCAATGAACTAAAGATGTCTCTTACTTTCGTGAATTTGCAGTCCCTACCATTTGGTGGTGTGAAAGACAGTGGATTTGGAAGGTTTGCTGGTGTAGAAGGATTGCGAGCGTGTTGTCTTGTAAAATCAGTTGTCGAGGATAGATGGTGGCCATACATTAAGACCAAGATACCAAAGCCTATTCAGGTAAGATAACAAAACCGAACTGTACACGCACACACACATTGAAACCCCAAATCTGACTGATTTTCCTACTTGGCCAACCACAGTATCCCGTTGCGGAGAATGGCTTTGATTTCCAGGAATCACTTGTTGAAGCACTCTATGGCATGAACATTTGGGAACGCTTGCGAGCATTGGTTAATGTTCTAAAGATCCTTAGGGAGCAAAACTCTCCTGGTAACAATAAGAGAAGAGATGACTGAGCTTGGCACATTAGTGTGGGAACATTTTCATGGGTTAACCGAATTCCGAGATATTTTGGGTTTTGGCTTCCCGTTGGAATCTCTCTTAATCACAGAGCATCAATCTAGTTGCTTCCTCTTTTGTTTTGTTTGGTTCTGATTTGGTAGCAGGACATATACAGAAAAAGAACAATGAGTTTTGATTGTAATGCAGACTTAAAGGGTGTACTCTTGACAAATGAGTATTTTACGCACTCTCCCCATGTTTTCGGGAATGAATAAATTAAATCATCGTCCAAGTCCAAGAACAAAACCGGAGAAGGAAAACTGGGAGTGCGTAAATCATTACCCTTTTTCCAAACAATGATCGGTCTTGGGCTCGGTCACCTGATTTTGTATGTTGTGGTTTGGGATTTGAGGTTCAGTTTGGGGATTGGGTCTTGTGCTTGAGTTTTGGGGTTTGGGTCGTGTATCTTGCCCGGAGCCAGTCCCTACATGCTCTGAGCGATCATCCTCGAACCACGCCAACAAGCTTCTAGTTTTCCAGCAACTCTGCTACCTGCTGGCAATTTTCAAACATATAAGGGTATAGGCTGCATAGCAATGCAATGACCACTTGCATTAACCAGCCCTTGGAGGGGGACAAGGGACTATTGTTTAAAAAAAGTAGCTCAAAGAAGTATAGAGATCATGCAAATGCTTATTGAATATATAGCGCTTGTTGCCACAAGTGCCTCTTCCTGCATTCTTATATGCTATTCTAGCTACCTATTTTATAATTTGTTTTCTCTTTTGTTGTTTTATCAACTTCTTTTTATGATATTAGAACAAATTATCTTACGTGTGAACCTCAGTGATCACACGTGCTAAGACAAATATGGCTTGACTCATATGATATTATGAATGTATTTTAGGGTTTAGGGTTTTGGATTTAGGGACCCTAAACCCTCACACGTGCTAAGACAAATATGGCTTGACTCATATGTTATTTTGAATGTATTTTACATATCACGTGCTAAGACAAATATGGTTTGACTCATATGTTATATTGAATGTATTTTACATATCATATACACATTAGTACACATTAGTGCACATTACAATATTTGAGTTTCTTTTGAGATCATAACCATAAATTAGGTGGAAATTTTTTACTTAATTATGTCTTATCTCTAGACCTGTTATAATTCTAACTCACCGCTCACCCTCCGTCGCTACTTAAGTCAACTCCAAGAGTGAACTAACTTCCCAACTACAAACTTCCACTTGCAATGTCTAATCTATGCAACACAATCTAGGAACACACAATCCACATAAAGATGACATTCACCAACTCACAAATCTTGCCTCCCCATCACAAAACAACGCATTACTGAGTTTCACCGAAATAAGAAAACAAACCCACAACAACCATGCCAAGTGCCAACCTAAGAAACTATATTTAGCCACCAACAACAATGTCTTCTGTCCCAACCATCCCAATATCTTCTTCCCCATCCATCCCAATATATCCCTCATCCATTTCCCACTTTTCTAGATTTAGGTGGGCCGAACGCGGCCCAAACACAGAATCGCAAAAATAGCAATTTGCTTACTACTCCTACGGTAATGCAAATTCACATTTCTCCCCATATTTTTCAATTCCGTTTATAAATAAGCCTCTTTTTTTCCAATCCCATCTCGCCCAAATTCCTGCCCCATCAATCATATCACAGATCCAGAAAAGCTCTCTCTTTTCCTTCATAAACTCTCCGAAGTCTCTGCCTTTCTCTCTCGCTCTCTCTCCCTCCGTCTCTCCCGTCGTAATCCGCCGCTCCGGTCGGCTGGCTTTCAGATGACGATCCTTCGCAAAATAGCATCTGGGTAAGATTCTGAAACGCCTTTATCCCACTGGTTTGTGAAAAATCCAAGAGAGAGAACCGAGGAGAGAGAGAGTGAGTTTATGATAGAGAAGACGACAATGGAGGTTGAGAGGATGAGGCAGCTGTTACTTCTATGGTGTAAAAACTCCTTCGTGGCCCTCGTGGGTGCTAATCACACCGCCGCCAGGTTCTGCGCCCGCTAAATCCCATCATGTTCTTCGCTGTTGTTTTTTTACCTTTGATTCCTTTGTGACAAACGTTGCAAATTCGCAATCTTTCAAACATTTTCGCACCTGGGTACTCCCCAAATCGGCTTTTCGAGCTGTTCTTCAATCCGATCGCTTTCGCTGAGCTTTTCGAGGATTTTCGGTGCCAAAAGAGTTGAAAATTAACAGAGTAAATGGAAATGGCTGGCGGGTTTGCAGCCAAGGATCATAACAAGGTGAAGCACCTTCATGGTGGACGGATGGAATTGGAATCCGAGACTTACTTTGTCATCAATCTTCCAGATTCCAAGGTATTGCGGATTATTTCGCGCTCCGTTTTTCTGGGTTTGGTTATTCTCACACTGCCCTGCATTGGGACAATTCTGAGGGGATTAAATGTTTCCCATTTAGATTCGAATATCGAACCCAAAAATTTCAATTTCCAGCAGTTGGGTCTGCTTTTTCGTGATTTGGCCGGCGAAGGCCTCCGCAGAAAGGGTGATACATCTCTCGTTGTGACTCCTGGCAATGCCGGTGCGATTCAAAAGCTTCACCCTTTTGATCTCAATGGATTTGATTTCGTTGTAGATTCGGATTCGGTGCGAAAGAGCTCGTTCTTGGACGAGTCTATGAATTTCGTTTTCGCATTCAACTTGGCCGATGCTAAATTTGCGGATCGCATTCTGAAGATTGGCGGCATAATTGCCGTTCCAATGGGCAACGATCCTTCAAATGCCTTTAGGCCAAAACCAAATTACAAGATCGTGTATCTCCGCCGATACGCTTCCACTTTCGTGGCAATGAGGAAGATCAGTCTGGCTTATGACTTGCCCGTGACATCCCGGCGGCTTTTCCAATTAGAAACTGAGGAAAAGAAGACGGTGTTAGAGGGTCTAGAAGACGTCCTGCTGGAACCACCGAGGCACATTCTGGCCAAGTCAAATGAGTACTTAAACAAGATCAAGTTCCTCCCTGACTTGTTGGGCGATTCCCTCGACATTTACAACCGCCGAGTGTTTGTCAATGTAGACCTAAACGAGGAAAACCACGGCGTGGTAGAATGGTTCCATAAAAAATATCCCAAAAAGAACCAAGGATTTGAGGTCTACAACCTCGAAGTAGAGCCTGAAGAGGGTACAACCGCCCCTAAAAACGACGTTTCGGATTGGTTGAAAGACAATGTGAGGGAAGAGGACTATGTCGTGATGAAAGCGGAAGCGGAAGTGGTGGTGGAGATGATGAGGAAGAGGACAATCCGTCTGGTGGATGAGTTGTTCTTGGAGTGCAACAATGGATGGTGGGAGAGTGGGAGGAGTGGTGGGAGCAAGAGGGCTTATTGGGAATGCATTGCTTTGTATGGGAGGCTGAGGGATCAGGGAGTTGCTGTGCACCAGTGGTTCATGTGATAAACTTGAAGAAAATTGGATGGTTTTTGTGTCAAGAATTTTGCTGCATCAAAGTTCAAAGACTTCCGAATTGTTTAAGAGAGACTGAGATTTTGGGGTTTGGTTATTTGAGTTATGGTTTAGCTTAAATGGTTTGTATTATGAAGCCTATGAAATTGGCTTTTGTTTCCCAACACTTTGTTTAAAGTGGTTGGTGGAATGGTGTAATATCTATCTATTTACAAAATAATAATGCTAAGAGAAATACTAACAAAACTTTCTCAAAATGGTACTGTCTACGAATACCATGTGAATGCATGTTTTTATGAAAATATTAATACGAAAATTAACGTTAAACTGTGATATGGTAAAAAGTTTACTAATATTAGTAGTCCACTAATGTTGAGGTATAAAGATGACATGGTGGATGCATGAAGAAATTGTTCGCTATTTCTTTGTTTGAATCTATTTGACTTTATGACTTGGACCATTTCTAGGTGTTGATGGAACAGATGGAACTGCAAATTTACATCTTGAAATGAATGATTGAATGAATTTGGTATTCAGAAATATGGACCAGTTTGCAGTTTTCACAAAATGACATGTTATTTATCACCTCTTGCTTTCTTCTTGAACAAATAGAAGACCGATAAATGGAAACTTATATGTGCCTAGAACATAACTCGATGCATCAAGTGTCATAATACAAGTGGATTGACACTTAATAAAAAAAAAACTTCTCACTGTATTGTAACACTTAGTATATCGAATGTATTCCAAGTATTTTGAAAATCTCTCTAATAGATGGAAAGAAATTGTGATGTGAGCCCTTGATTGATGGGGAAACTTCCGTAGGATCGTCTCTCAATCAAGCAGGACCTTTTTTTTTTTTTGGTGAACGGTGGTGACTTTTTGGAAGAGGAAATGGAGTAATGGACCTCTCTATATTTGTAGCCTTTGCCTTCCTCTCTAAGTAAAAAAATTTGATATTAAGAGCAATTCCACCGGAGTGGACTTTGCCCAGGACCCAGCACAAAAACAAGGCCAGCACCTGTCAACCAAGTCCACCCCCTCAATTTGACTGGTACCCAGCCCGAGCTGGGCTCTGGATCAGCCCAAAAGAGACTGAGCAAGAAGCTGGGCTGTTTGCCTGGCGCGTGCGCTTCACGGAGGCGTGGCGCGAGTGCCCGACAGGATTTCAGAGCGCGGGCCCGCGTGCAGGCACACTCAGTTCCCACCCCGAGTTGGCGACGTGGCTCCCTTTGTGCCATTGGATTTCCAACGGTAAAAAATTTAAATTTTACTTTTAAAATAGACCGTCGGATCAAAGATCAACGGTCCACCTTTTTTCACAAAAAAGTAAAAAAAAAAAAAAGGCCCAACAGTCAGAAATATGATCGTTGGCCACGCGGCAACTCCCTGTCTCTTGGATTTGAATATTTTTCAAATCCAACGGTCCAGATTAATTAACTATATTAAAATTCATTAAAAATTATTAAAAAAATACAGAAAAATTATTAAAAAATACAGAAAATTTTGAAAAATGTTAAATTTTTTCCTATAAATACCTAACCCTCATCTTCCACCTTTACACCACATTTCAATATTTTCTACACTTTCTATACTATCTACATTTCAATATTTTCTACACTTTAAGAGAAAAAAAATGTCTTCGTGGAAGCTCATTGAAGATATTACGTTGTGTGAATGTTGGGTTCACACTACTCATGAAATCAGAAAGTGACATGTGGCTGTAGACATCGAAATTTCGGTAAATAAATGTTGACCGGTAAATCAAAGTGTCAACGCTCATGTATTACATAAATTTTACACGTAACGTGTGACTCAACGAAAATTGAAATGAGTTGGAAAAGTCATCAAATAGGACACGTGTCAACACCTGGCAGAAACGACTTATTTCATCTGGAATATTATATTCAAAATTAGGCCTTGGAAAATTCTATAAATACAAGCCCATTTCATTCATTTGAGAGGACCAATTCATATTACACCTTGAAGCTCTGAAGCTCTGAAACTCCGAAGCTCTCAAGCATCCAGGTTCCCGAAGAATCAAGAAAGTGTTCTTCGTTCTTCGTTCATCGTTCTTCCAAGATCAAGCCTCGACGGCCCTTGGATCAACAATCATCCACCTTCAAGATCAAGCCCCGACGGCTCTTGAAGAAAGCGTTCTTCGTTCTTCGTTCATCGTTCTTCCAAGATCAAGCCCCGGCGGCCCTTGGATCAACAATCATCCACCAATCCAAGATCAAGCCCCAACGGCCCTTGGATCAACGAACGTCGACAAATCCATACATCCAACCGTTCTTCAAGATCCAGCACAAAAGCCCTTGAAGACCTGTTCATCACTGTTCTTCAAGATCAAGCCCAAAAGCCCTTGGAGATCCGTTCATCACTGTTCTTCAAAGATCAAGCCCAAAAGCCCCTTTGAAGATCCGCTCAAAGCCACCTTCAAGATCAAGTCCACGGCCCTTGAAGAACGTTCATCCAAGATCAAGCCCCAACGGCCCTTGGATCAACGAAACATCCACAAATCAACACCTTACGGAGATCGAATCAGAGGATCAAATTTGAGAGAGATTGTAACCCAAAATCATCAAATACATAATATTTGTTTGTGCGCGTTGTTCTTGTCTCTTTCGTTTCAGGAATTTTCCGTGTTCACAAATTGGCACGCCCGGTGGGACAATCTCTGCCTCTCATCTCTTTCTCCGTTCAAGAAATTCAAGCGCACTTCCAAAATTAATGGCATCAAGGAAGGCTCAAACTGTTCCCCCAACCGGCGCAAAGAACAAAAGCGTCCTCGTCGCAACTGGTGTCACTTTGGGCATCACGACTCGAAGCATGGCAAGAGCTACTTCTGCCGCCTCTTTCACCTCTGCATCAACTCTGCCAAGGGAACAAAAACACCCAAGGCACGAGCCTTTGATCACCTTAGCCTCACTAAGGGCACCAAGGGGGGAAAGCCCAAGGAAATACTCCGAATCCATGCTCTCCGATGCCGATTCAAGCGACAGTTTAGCCATGCAAGTCATGACCATTGGAGCAACTTCAATCGATGAGCAGCTGGCTCAAATGAATGAAGCAATCGCAAGGCTAACCCGAACTGTGGAAGAAAAAGACTTGCAGATTGCAGCACTAGTCAACCGACTGGAGGTGCAGGACGGCGATAAACCCGACCCAGATGATGATCCACTAAAGGGAGGAGCTGGTGGAGACGAAGAACCCCCGGTGAAGAAAATCGATGGGAAGCCGGAGCCAGACCAAGCAGCGGCACTCATGGGATCTCTTTCTATCCAGCAGCTGCAGGAGATGATCACCAACACCATCAAGGCACAGTACGAAGGGAGCTCACACACCTCCTTGTTCTACTCGAAGCCCTATTCCAAGAAGATTGATGCCTTAAGGATGCCAAGGGGTTATCAACCACCAAAGTTCATGCAGTTTGATGGAAAAGGAAACCCAAAGCAGCACGTTGCCCACTTCGTTGAAACTTGCAACAACGCAAGAACCGAAGGGGATTACCTCGCCAAGCAGTTTGTGCGCTCGCTGAAAGGAAACGCCTTTGAGTGGTACACAGACCTAGAGCCCGAGTCCATCAACAGCTGGGAGCAATTAGAGCGGGAATTCCTCAACCGCTTCTATAGCACCCGCCGCATTGTGAGCATGCTAGAGCTGACGAGCACGAAGCAATGGAAGGAAGAACCAGTCATAGACTACATCAACCGATGGCGTAATCTAAGCCTCGACTGTAAGGACAGACTCTCCGAGATTTCTTCAATCGAGATGTGCATCCAAGGCATGCAATGGGGTTTGCAATACATCCTTCAAGGCATTAAACCGCGGACCTTCGAGGAATTGGCTACTCGCGCCCATGACATGGAGTTGAGCATCGCCCATCATGGGAAGAAAGAACCGATCCCCGACTACAAGAACGACAAAGTTCTTGGGACAAAGGTGGAAAAGGCCGCATGGAAACCCACCAAGGAAGCGATGACGGTCAACACAGCTCCCGTCAAAATCTCCACAGGAGGCAAGGCGATTCAAACCGAAGCTTTTCGTGATTAAGAGATGCGTAGACGCACTTTGAAGGAGCTGGAGGAGAAAACTTATCCATTCCCCAACTCTGATGTGGTTGCCATGTTAGAAGACTTGCTGGAAAAGAAGGTGATCGACTTGCCTAAGTGCAGACGGCCGGAAGAGATGAATCGTACCGACAACCCAAGATACTGTAAATTCCACCGCTTCATCAGTCATCCGACAGAAAAATGTTTCGTGCTGAAAGATCTCATCATGAAGCTGGCTCAGAAAGGAATCATCGAGCTAGATCTTAACGATGTGGTGAAGTCAAACTATACCACCTTCACTTCTGGCTCTTCCGACTCAAAGTTTTTACCTCAACCGCTGGGGGCATCCTCCAAGACAAGCAAAATTGAAGGATGGACTCAAGTCACTCCTAAGAAATTGCACAAGAAGCATATGTCTCCTCCACAAGTCCGCCAATCGAAAAGGGGGCAAAGCAGCTCTTGTCAACCTTCAAAACAACGTGAACATGTTGAAGATGATGAAACTTCGACACAAAGATCGTCCGTCCCCATCACGATGCGCGACTTCTTGCCCGAAGACTTCTTCAATCACGCGGTCAAAACTCATTGCTATGAAAATTGTGAGGAACGCCTCTCCAAAATTGCTTGACAAAATTCACAAATTCTCCTCGCCCGCACGAGTCTAAACTGCATGGCACAAAGCTCCTGGTCTGCACGAGCATAAAAGGCAACGTCAACGCTCCTGGTCTGCACGAGCATAAAAGGCAACACCAACGCTCCTTGCATGCATGAGCTGAAACTACAACACGGCACCAAACGCTCCTTGCCCGCACGAGCTGAAACTGCAACACGGCACCAAATGCTCCTTGTATGCACGAGTTGAAACTGCAAACACACCAACGCTCCTTGCCTGCATGAGTTAAAACTGCAAACGGCACAAAAAAAAATATAAATATG